TGAGGCAAACGGGTCTGTGCCTGGGACCCTCCGATTCTCTCTTAAACCCCAGAGCTGGAGAACGGCCCCTTCATGCAAATCTGCCTGATGCTGGTGGTTTCTCATATCGAAGCTGAGCCCTGCAGATTGCCTGGGCAGAATCGCTCTCTAAGGTCCCATGTGACAGAAGGAAGAAAGGCCCCTCTGCTTTATCATTTGCTCGGGGGAAGCCAATGTGATCCCAGTGCGGAGAGCTCCGACCGGGAAATGTGCTGTCGTCACTCATTTACCTGCATGGCGCACATGGATTATGATGGGTTTTCATCACCACCCCCTCCCGCACACACACACACTGGCACTGAATTAGCAGGGAGTGTTTCTGGTCCCAGTAACCCTGGGTAAAGTGTCACATCCCTCTCCTGCGTGTCCTGTGGGGATGCCCTGGACTGACTGGTGCAGACTCTAGGGCACAGGATACAGCTCTGGTGACTGACACCTGGGGAAGGAGGTGGAGATGGGACGGGAGGAGGGAAGTTGGTGGGGTCCCAGCTGGAAAATCTCTTGCTGGGAGCATGTGTTCCTGCTCTGATCTCTGTTCAGATCCCAGCAGAGGGACAGGTCAGTGTCACCTCCGAGAATGACACGTGCTGGGTCCCAGGAGAACTTTGAATTAAACTGTTCCTGCAAAGGTCACTTGGCTTTTAGCTTCGTACCCGCTCTGGGCACATGCCCCATCTGCACTGGCCTCCCTGCTGCTCACCCCCGTCTGCCCCTTTCCCCAAACCAGGAAGGAGGGAGGTTGCCCAGAATCTGAAGCAGGTTGGGGAGGGGACAGACGCTGGAGTGCAGAGGGTAGGGGGGATGAGTGAGGCTGGTTTCACACTATTGCAAAGAGGAGATTTTTTTGTATAGGACACAGGTGAACATGCCTGAGAAGCCCAGAGAGGCCTCTGTATCCCAGCTATTGGTAGCCTTGTGCTCCTCGGGCCTGGACAATGGACATTGTAGATGAAGAGCTCCCCCTGGTGGGGAAGGTCACATTTACAGCAGTCCCCAGCGTTCACTCTAAGCTGCAGAACTGAGCACTTTATAAGAATTATCTCTAGCCCCAACGCTGCGTTGTGTGACCAGGATCTCTAGTCCCCTGGGATCTGGGCTCCTGGCAATTTATAACCCTGCTTGGGGAGCACAGGCCTGGTGAGCTTTGGCATGGGAAGAAGGAAAATTCTGCCTGATTCTACAATGAGCAGCCGGGGAACCCAAGGGCTGAAGCAGCTGATGGCACCATTCCCTTCCCTCCAGAACTCCTCCCTTCCTGGTGAAACCTGCATTCTACTGGGCTCTGCGCCTCCCTCCACACTGCACAGCAGACAGCCAGGAGCGCTTTCAAAGGGGGTTTGGGCCCTGCTTTGCTTCTTCCTGCTGGTTAACACGGGGCTGAAAGGTTTGCAGCTAAGCCCAGGCCCGACTCCCTGAGCTACGGGAGAATGGATCTGTGTTAGTACTGAATGGCCTGTGACACAGCGGGAAAGTTAGCGGGAAATTCCCAGGTCTCACGGGCAGTGTTTGTGCCACCAGGGTTAAGAGTGGGGGTCTGTGACCCGAGATAGTCTTGACCTGTGTCCTCAGCTTCCTTATGTCCTGCTGCCCCCGTGTGTGTGTCTCTGAGGGCTGGTCCAGGACTGGGGGCCAGAGACCCTGAACAGTCCCCAGAGTCCCTTGGTGTAACTTTTGGCTAAGAATAAATAAGATTTTGCTGTATTCTATTGTCTGATATGTCCTACACCTCTACCTCGATATAAAACTGTCCGCGTGAGCCAAAAAATCTTACCGCGTTATAGGTGAAACCGTGTTATAACGAACTTGCTTTGATCCGCCAGAGTGCGCAGCCCCGCCCCCTCCGGAGCGTTGCTTTACCGCGTTATATCCAAATTCGTGTTATATCGGGTCGCGTTATATCGAGGTAGCGGTGTATAACTGGACACTTCATCCAGGCATAGGAATGGGGATGCACTAAATGATCTCATCGGTCTTTCCTCTCACTTTCAGACCATTCAAGGTATTCTCTGGCTGGTGGGGTGACAAGTAAACTGGGTTAGGGGAGACGTGTCCCTTTACCCAAGGAGCATGTGGCCGTCTGCTCCCAGCTTGACCCAGGCAGTGGTGGGTCTGTGACACACGGATCTATAAGGCAGAAAAGCTGCCCCTGCTAGACAGATGGAGCAAAGAGCATAAGAGTGGCTGATCTCTCCCCCAGGGGGAGTGAATGGGGAGTGGTGTAGCAGCGCCCCCTGCTGATGACACAAGGGGTGGCTGAAATTCCTAAGGAGGAGCAATTCTTGTCTCATATTTAGGGCACTACCAAATTCACAGTCATGGGATTTTAAAAATCATAAATTCACTTATTTGAATCTGAAATGTCACAGTGTTGTAATTGTAGGAGTCCCGCCCCAAAAAGGAGTTGTGTGGAAGGAGGGTTTGCAAGGTTATCGTAGAGAGGGTTGCGATACTGCTACCCTTACTTCTGCCCTGCGGCTGGCGGCGGTGCTGCCTTCAGAGCTGGGCAGTAAGAGAGCGGCGGCTGTTGCCCGGGAGCCCAGCTGTGAAGACGGAGCCGCTGCCACCAGCAGCAGAAGGAAGGATGGCCTAGTATGGTATTGTCACCCTTACTTCTGCGCTGCTGCCTGCAGAGGTGGGCCCTCAGCCAGCATCCGCCACTCTCCGGCCACCCGGCTCTGAAGGCAGCAGCACAGAAGCGAGGGTGACATGGGATGGAATTGCCACCTATGCTTCTGCACTGCTGGGGGTAGGGTGCTTCTTTCAGAGCTGGGCGCCCGGCCAACAGCTGCTGCTCTCCGGCCACTAAGCTCTGAAGGCAGCGCAGAAATAAGTGTGGCAATACCCCGACCCCCCCCAAAGTAACCTTGTGAGCCCCCCTGCATCTCCCTTTTGAGTCAGGACCCCCAGTGTGAGAAACGCTGGTCTCCCCTGTGAAATCTGTATAGTATAAGGTAAAAGCACACAAAAGACCAGATTTCATGGGGGCAAGACCAGATTTTCACAGTCCACGATCCGTTTATCATGGCCGTCAATTTAGTAGGGGCCTACTCATATTGCAGGCAGGAACCAAACTGTGCAGCCAGTACAGAGGCCAGGCAGAAGGAGATGACGGGGGAAGACAGGGGAGGTTTTTGTCTCAGTTCCCCATCTGGCTGGATCACTGTGAGTCCAACTACTACTGCTACCGATATACACAGCACAGTAATAGTCAGCCTCATCCTCTGCCTGGACACCGGTGATGGTCAGGGCAGCGTTGTTACCGGATATGGACCCAGAGAACCGGGCAGGGATTCCGGAGGGTCTGTTATTGGTGTTGTATATAAGCAGCCGAGGAGCAGAGCCTGGTTTCTGCTGGTACCAGGCTGGATAGTTGCTGGTGGTGATGGCTCCAGTGCTCAGACTGCAGGACAGAGTGACAGCTCCTCCTGGGGTCACCGACATCGAGGGCTCCTGAGTCACCACGGGCTGCGAACTGACCCCTGAAATCAACATTACAAACACACTCAGCACAAGGACTCTGGATCCTCACAGACAAACCTCCTCACCTGCAAGTCTCCTTCATATTTTTGCACTGAAGAAACAATTCCCTCACCTGAGCAGTACGTGAGCAGCGTGAGGAGCAGAGGGGCCCAGGCCATGGTGGGAATCCAGACGAGCTCGGCTTCCTGAGGCAAACGAGTCTGTGGCTGGGACCCTCCGATTCTCTCTTAACCCCCCAGCGCTGGAGAACGGCCCCTTCATGCAAATCTGCTCCCTGCTCACTAGCTGCTTCTGCCAGCACCTCCCTCCCTCCTTGGAGTCGGCCTCACTGGGCCAAATCCAGCGGGGAGCGGAAGGGGATGTCAGTTCCATGTGGGTACAGCTAGGGGTGCTCAGCTCTGAATTTGGACTTTACTCTGTGAACGGCCATTACGGGGCTGCTGGGAGGGGTCGTTAGCGTAACGTTAGCGCAGCACATCTGACGTGTAGAGAGCATTGGATGAGCTTTGCATCGCTGGGCACACAGATATTTTCTATCACGTGCACATGGAGAGGGGTCACTGCCGCCACCACTGCAGTGCAGCCGGGCCAGCGTCCCCCATGCTGCCCCTCACGCGTGGACACGCACCCTGGGAAAACCCCCAGAACTAACTCATTCCCCTCCTGCCACCCTCCTTCCAGCTCCCCTTTGCCGTGATGCCTAGAAACAAACTGACAGCAGTAAGGCCATGGGTGTGCTGAGACCCTTCCCATCCCGCTGCCAGGATTGTCTCATTGCTGTCTTCTGCCATCCATAGGTCCGTCTCTGTGTTTCTACAGAGCCCAACACAACGGGGACCTGGGCCATGACCTGTCCTCCCAGGGGGCTACAGAAATACAGATACATAATAATCACAGTGATGCAGCTGCCTCTAATGGACATTCCTGGGCCAGATTTTGCAGAGATGTTCAGCATTAAATGTAATCTCCGTTAAATTACATACAAGTAAAAAAACACTTTGCAAATACACATCCAGCAATTACAAGGAGAAATAGTTCATAATTCTGCCACCTAAATCAGTACAATTGGGTGCCTCGGACCTCTTGTTTCTCCTCCTCCCCCATCACTCGGTCTGAATGAGGGATCTGAAAGGACGCAGCTGTTCAGACACCACGGTCTGTGCACCAGGCTCTTGAAGACAAATGTGTGTTAAATCGTTACTTTAATCCCTAGAAACTATTCACAATACAGACTGGTGCCCAGTCAGAACTGAACCACATCTCCCATCTGCAGAAGAGTACATGGGGAATATCCAGGTGCATCTCAAATCACATTTTATTCTCTCCAGTCTCTGGAGTTTAAGGAGAGATTCATTCCAGTTCCCAGCTGCACGCAGCTCAGGGTTACCCTTATGAACGTGGCTGCCTTCAGACTCCCCTTGTGTTCTAATATTTTGCATCAAGGGACATCAAGGGCCCAGGTACCCCCTGTAGCTCATCAGACAAGTACAGGGCAGGGTCCGGGGAGGGAGGGGGTGTGCAGAGGAAGGTTCTTTCTACTCAGTGGGTCTCAGTGAGGCTTTGGTCTCCGTTAACACAACCATTGGCAGGCTCACGCTTTCCTAACATGGCCTGGACCTTGTTATTTCAAAAGAAACTGAACCACGTTTGCTTCAGGTGTAAAAGGCTCCTCTCAGCCCCAGACACCATGTGCTGCCTTGCTCTGCCTTTGATATTTGTAAGGGGCTTTTCCCCATGGGATCTAAGGCTATCTGAACTCTGGCATGTATGGTTCATACCCCCACACTTAGTAGCTCTGTATTGGCTGAGGGGTGAATTAACACCCTTGTGCCTTGTTTAATTTGATCATTCAACAGGCTCACCCCTTCCTAATTTCAACAATTCTTGACATGCTGATGGAACGGTTGTTTCCAGACTTGTCTGGGTTTACGTGTATATATAAATCCCGCCGTTACACTGAGAAGTGGTTCATAAATCTACAACATAAGTCAATACATCTGCGTTCCGTCAGCCCTCTGTCTCATCCCTCCCCCACCCAGTGTGTCTGTAGGAGGGGTTTGAACAGATGCAGCTCTCTGATCACCACAGCCTGTTGCACACACCCTGGAAGGTAAATGTGTATTAAACAGTTACTGTATTTCATTACCAACAGTTCAAAAGTGCAGGGAGACAGCGCCCTCTTGTGCCCAGAGTCATAGCTGCACCATGTTGCTATACTGCCCTACAGCACTTGGGGAAAATCCACCTGCTTCTCACATCCCATTGAATTCTCTCCAATCTCTGGAGTTGAAGGAGAGATTCATGACAGGTCCTAGCTACATTCAGCCCAGTTTGCCATTTGTGAGTGTGGCTCTGTGTTACTGTGTCCCTCCAACTCACCCCCTGGGCTAAACTTTACATGTAGGAGTAGCTAGGACTTGGGAACCCCTGTGACTCCTCAGATACACGTACAGCAGGCCTGGGGCGAGTGGTGGGGTTGATCTCAATGTGGCTTCTGTGATTTGTTTCACCTGGTCATTTTGCAGGCTCAGCGTTTCCTACCGGGGCAGATTGTATCATGGCCAGATCCGTCCCTTTCCTACCCTGGCTCTGCTTGTGTGTGAGATGCCTGGGCTCTGGGATCACCCCCACCCCCTGCAGACTCTGAGTTTCACTGAAGAATGAGCTGGTATTTAATAGACACAAACTACCTCCTCTCACAGCATGGATCTGGGAACTGGATTTTGGAACTTTTCCTTTAGGATTATAACTGAATCTCATTGCTGCAGGAGCACCGCATTGCAGGGGTCAAATCCTGGTCCCATTGAAAGAAATGAGACAAAGACTTATGTATTATGGACATTCACCAATATTATGCTTTAAAGCCTGTGACTATAAGGTGTTTAAACCAGACATGGCAGGAGCAGTTGATAAACAGGGTATCTCCAAACAGAGGAAAGAGACCAACAAACCAACCAGGTGTGGCCAGATTCAAGAGGCTATCCATTTGTATCAGAGGTTTGCAGGAAGAGACATTTTGCATTGTAAAAGTCACTAGTGGCGGGGTGGGGGGAGGCAGCATGCAGCCTGCACCAGATGGCTCCGTGTCCATACCCAGCAGGGAACAGGAACTTTATCTGGGATACATGTCAGACTCCAGCGCTGGCAAAGAAAAGTGCAGCAGGAATTCCACACTCTAGTGCTGAGGCACCACCTAGCGCCTGGGCTCCCAGGGACGTTCTTGGGAAACTTTCATTTGCTCCTTCTTTAGAATCCCTGTCAAATACAGGAGCCCCAGGGACACAATTCTCCTTTACCCCCAGGGAACCTGTCATCAGGCCAGGCTACTTCCCACACTCCAAAGTAGGCGCTGCCACACCCAGCCCTTGGCAAGGAGGGTTATTTGCCTTAGCAGAAGTTAGCAAACAAACAGAAAAACAGTCTTTTAACTCATTCCCTAGCCTCAGGCTTCAGGGCCCCCTGTCAGGGTCTCTGACTCTCCTGTTCCTAGCAGCTTCCTCAGTTCACTCAGCTCTGCTGCCTTCCAGGAGCAGCTGCCCCAGAGCTGCTTCTCTGAGCCCAGGCCCCCTGCTCCAGGGACCCATCACAGGCACTAGCTCTACACCACAGTGACTGTCGTCCCCCCCCCGCACAGCCTGTCTCAGCTCATTACCTGTTCTCAGCCCTTTATAGGCCCAGCTGTAGCCCAGCCCTCTTTGATTGGCTGGATTGACCCCACCTGCTCTGAGTAAACTGGAGCTGAGACAAGAGCAGTGCATTCAAGTAGTGTCAGTCCCTGGCTTTGGTGGGAACCAGGGTCATTTTCCAACATGACCGTCACTTTTGTGAGTCTAAAACTCCCATCTTGGTGGGATCTAGGTGGTCCCACATAAAACCCCGACCCCTCACCAAAAAACTGAACCCCCAAACAAACCCAGTAGTGTCCTGTCTGCTCCGTGCACTCCCTTCCCCATGTTAACAGCTCTGGCGATTAGCAAATCACCCATGGGTCTTACACTAGGGGGGTCTGCTGGGGCAGTTACCTTGTGGGTTGGGTAGATGGGAGACACGTGTGTCCTTACTTCTGAGGCAGCCATAGAACCAGCAGCCCTGTTCTGAGCCGTGAGCAAATTTGAGAGTAAATTTGTACAGCACGTATGATGCCATTCAGCTGATAGCTGGTAGATCTCCCCCAGGTCTTTCCCTGAAGGATAGAATGGAGGGGACAGTCCATGAGTGTCTGTTCAGCACAAACTCTGACCCCAGGGGAAAGTCTGAACGGAAGCAGAGCCTCGGAACCAATTCATAGCATCAGTTTTTACAATTTCCTGGGTAACACTGAAGTGAATCTTTTTTTAAATGTTGGACATTCTGGTGTTTCTCAGTTTGAATGTGCTGCAAAGAAGTGTTTAGCCCGTGTTTTTGTTGCCTTCAACTGAGGAACCCGAGGGGGACCTGGAAGAGGAGAATAACTAGGCAATATTGACTGTTCAGGGTTGGGTGTTTTTATGTGTTGAACACAACGCTTGGAATGGCTGCTTTCCAAATATAACC